TATATATATATATATATATATATATATATATATATATATAATATATATTGTATATTACATATACATATTATGTGTAATGTATATATACGCATCTATATATATTCCATATTATAACGTATATTATATACGTTATATATATATATATAATATATACAATATATACAAATCATTCCGGCCAAGTTCGAATTAGATGTGCCGATGGTAAAAGTGCGTCACGTATATAGATGTAGATAGTGTAACCATGACACCGAGGTCGTATAACAGACGCAAGAAGAAGCATCAAGATCAAGATGTAGACAATATATATCAAGAGTACATAATAGAGATTAACATAATAATGTATCTCTGTTATGTACTCTTGATATATATATATATATATAGAGAGAGAAAGAGGGGGGAGAGACAAACAGACAGAGGGTAGACAATACCAGAGAGAGAGAGAGAGAAAGAGAAAGAGAGAGAGAGAGAGAGAGTATAACTGTTAGATTAAGAAAGACAGTGATGTGCACATCAAGTTAATGTGACAGTGACGGTTGTGGATGAGCTGTATTGAGCCTGTGTTTAGATTGATCACGTGTTGCTCATACGAGCGACACAAGTGCCACTATTTCTACGTGGAAGAAAGGTAAGAAACTGATATCTATAGGTATTAGTAAAAAACAGACGGGCAGTGAGTGTATCAGTAGCGGAATGTGCGGCCGCTTTACCGTAAGTGAAATTCTATACGTTTTGCAGATCCGATGTAATTCGCAATAATCCCGCGATCATCCTAGAGACTTGTAATTCTGGGGCCCGTTGTCAGACACAAAAGTAGTCTTAACATTAATCTTAACATTAACATTAGTATTAACTTTACGATGTTTTTGACAACGGGCCCCTGATTTAGTAATGAAGCAATGCGCGACTTATTCTATTGCAGTTCTTCTATAATGTACGGAGAATGATGAATCTGCTTGCGCCGGCTCCTCCTATGAGTGCGGGGTGAAGTATGTGGTGAGACAGTTTTTTTTAAATGGTGTAAACGGGTACTCGCGCTGTACAATGTGCTCATTTCCCAGTCGTATCACCACATGCAAATATAGATCCACAGTCCACACTAGCCACAACGAAATTTTTGTATTTCAAATAGAGAGCCGACCTTGCCTTTTAAAATCCTAGCTGTTTCAAACGCGAGTACAGCAATTGTCGTTCAATTCAACTCGCATAATTATAACGCATTCATTTGCAACCACTTCATATTTACAGTAAATCAATTAATATTTCGTGAAAACCGAGTTCGGATAAATTACGTTCTTGTAAGTAACTTGTAAAGTCTATCTCAACCAATTAGGCTTCGCCACGAAACTGTTCCGGATATCGGTTTACCGGCACACTCTAAACAACTTCATGACGTCTGTTATTTCGGCTCTTTGGGCGACAGCTGTATCGGTAAACGTGCAGATGTGGATTTTGCTAGCCTTAGCCCCCCAGCTGTCAGGTGAATCACAGCTTGCTCCCAATGTTTGCGTCTTGAGAACTGGAAAGTGATGAGAAATCCACGGGAGATGGCCAATTGCGGCAAGGACGGCGAGGCAGAGAGACGGACAGACGGGGCGGAAGAACGCGCACACACGCATACGCACGCACGCACGCGCACGCACGCACGCACACACACACACACGCACACACGCACACACACACGCACACACACACACACACAAACATACACACACACACACACACACACACATACACACACACACACA